GGAAGGTGTCTTTTACCTCTGTAGTGAAGTATTCAACTTTCATATCTTAGTTGTATTAGGAAGGTCTGGTGGTACCGGTCTCTCCCAGTGTCCAGTTGTTCTTTCTGGTTTCTGCTGATGAAATTCTTTATCAATAAATCTTTAGCCTTGGAATCAGTCTGCAAGGTTTTCATGTAACTGTTGCTCACAGAATTATTTTTAGATCTGTTCTCTTTTAATCTGATTCCACTATACTTTGTTATATTTGCCATTGCTAGTTTTGTGTTACACGTTGAGTATTTCTGATCTGTCACACTTCAATTACTGACTCGAGTCAAGCAAGAAAGTTGCTCAAGCATTCCCTCTTTCATTTTTGGGTGTTTGGTCTTTCATTGTGGTCACTGCTTTTGTCTAAAATAATTTCCTGTTATTTGTAACCTGTTGATTATTTTGATGCCTTTGGTACTATTGCTGGACTTAAAAGTATATTGTCTGTTTGCTACAAATGACTGAAAAACGTGATGGTTACTTTACAGCCTGTTCTGGCATTTGGAACTGGTTTGTATTGGGTTTTTTGTTTGGTGTTTTTTTTATTTTATTTTTTAATTTATTAGAAGAAGTAGGTCACAGTTTTGACCAGGCCGCCTGTCTATGTCTTCCCCATTTCTCTTTTGCGCCTTTGTTTTTCACAAAATCATTGCAGCAGCCACTTCTGAAGTCTTGTGTGAAGGACAAACCCAGGAAAGGGAGCCTGGAGCTGACTTCTCACCGGAAAGCATTACGACTGAGAAACCAGTTAACTGGGGAAGCATTAGTTCCTGGAGCAGCTGGAATGGAGGCTGTATAAATTACATAGCAAAATATTATGATTTAAAAAATCCAGGGACAGATCCACTCTAGGCAAGTTTTAAGTGCCAATATTGAGTTGAGCAGAATGGCCTTGTCAGTAAGGTGACTAGAAAGGTGTTTTGGAGGTGGCAAACTTTCCAGCCGTAGCCAAATTTAATTCCTTATGGTTTATCAGACTTGCAAGTGACTGGTCAAAAACTAGCTATTAAGACTGAGAATAACAAAGCCTTTGAAATGTGAAATGTCTCCTCACATGGGAGGTAGACACAATGCTGTGGTCTTCTGGAGTTTTGGGGTTTTATTTATTTATTTTAACTTGGAAGATGAGATCTTAGCTCTGTAGGGCTCTTAGCTCTGCCCTTTCTCCAGGGCAGAAATCTCTGCGGATGAAGGAGAGTAACAGCAGGAACTACTCATTTTTTGAAAAGCCTCTTTATGTAACATAGATGAGTGGGAGGAAAAATTGTGCTGTCTGTAGTGTTGCTTATTCTTCTTGCTCTGTGATTTTGGGAAATAGGAGGGTGCTTTGGACTGTTCGCCTTGAGGTTCATAGTACGTTTGAAAGTATCAGTAGCTTTCCAGACCTGTGGAGTTTTCCAGCTGGACAGCTGCAGTGAGTAGCCTGGCTTTTGGTGTTCCAAAAAGCACCAGGTAGGTCCTGGTGAATACGTCTCATTTTTTTTGGCGTTTCATCAATGTATTCGTTTTGTTGTCTTAAAGCTCATGTATAAGAGTTCACACAACATTAGTAAGTGTGTGTGTATATATTGCCAATATTGTTTTCAAATACTATTAAATATTTTATTGCAACTGTAGCTGAAATAATTAGTGGAATTGTTCACCAGTGGCTGCTGTTGATAGATGCAAGAATTGTTCTGAAGTGGATCATGGAAAGCTGCAAAGTACTTGCAGGTGTTTGCTTTCCTCAAGACGTTGTAATGCTGCTGTGGTGGGAAAGCTGATGGGCTTTGAGGGCCTCGCATAGCACATAGGTGTGTGAGATTTGGTGGACATGACACACTTGGGTTTTCAGAAACTTTGGCAAAATTTTCCATCAAGTTATTGAAGGACTGAAGTTGCTCTGAGACTGAAGGAAAAATTCTTTTATGGATTGGAAGGTGCTTAAAGAATAAGAAGCAACATAAGAAGGACATGGACCTGTTGGAGTGGGTCCAGAGGAGGGCCACAAAGATGATCTGAGGGCTGGAGCAGCTCTGCTATGAAGACAGGCTGAAAGAGTTGGGGCTGTTCAGCCTGGAGAAAAGAAGGCTCTAAGGAGATCTTCTAGCAGCCTTCCAGTATCTAAAGGGGCCTACAAGAAAACTCAAGAGGGACTTTTTCCAAGGGCGTATAGTGATAGGACAAGGGGCAATGGCTTTAAACTGAAAGAGGGGAGATTTAGATTAGTGTCACGTTTTGAAGGTAAGATTTTATTTGCGACAGGATATAGATTCGTAGATAGCCGGTGATAGTGACTGACTACAAAAGAACTTTAACTAAAATACTGCAGTGATAATATAAGACTATTACTGATCAGTGATAATACCAAATAGCTAGTAAGATGTTAGTAAATAAATGCGCATAACACAATGTCCTTACCCAATAGGCGTCCCTATGGGGGGGAGAAGAGAGGTTCAGCCCGTCGTCTGATCCCAGATGTTTCGATGGAGGGGCTTCTCCCTAACATCCCCTTTGTTTTTTGCCATTTTATACTATTTCTCTACTTTCAGGTGGAGCTTGAGTGACTCTAGTCATACATACCTTTGTTAGGATTGGTGTAAACTTTTCTCTCTTCGATTTAAAGGTATAGGCAAGAAGAAATTCAAGGCGCCTGCTCAGTGAGGGGTGGTCGCAGCCCGGAGGCGGGTAGCTTTTGAGGTGGAGGTGTGTTTTGGTATTATAATGACATTATAATGAGCAAAGTTCAACTAAAGGACAAGATTTCCTGGGGCAACAGTTGCGATCCATCTTCCTTGGTGGCAATTAGACGGTTATCTTCACCAGATGTTCTTTGCCTCTGATAACAGGGATGAGCCATGGTACCTCCGCACCACTCTAATCCCCACTTCAAAGACATTGCTCATTTCATCTGACCAACAGGCCGTGTCCATCCTGGGAGCAGCAACTGCTTCTCACCTCAAAGCTGCTCTAATGTTGCAGCCTTTGAGCTGAACTTTGCTAAGCTGTATTTCTCCATTTTCCCCAATTTCGGTTATTTTCCCACAATTAGATCTAAGGAAGAAATTTTTTACAATGAGGATGTTGAAGCACTGGAACAGGTTGTCCAGAGAAGTTGTGTCTGCCGCATCTCTGGAAGTGTTCAAGGCTGGGTTGGGTGAGGCTTTGAGTAACCTGACCTAGTGGAAGGTGTCCCTGCCCATGGCAGGGGGGTTGGAACTAGATGATCTTGAAGGTCCCTTCCAACCCAAACCATTCTATAATTATATGACTCATCAGTGACCTGTCAGGATAGAGGAGGGTCGGCAGTGGGATCCCTCAGGAGCTGATGTTGGTACCGGCTTTGTTCAGCATCTGTGGTCATCTGGAGAGGGGATTTAACTGCGGATATTCCCATCTTGTGAGTGTTATTAAACTCTTATGTATTCCAGTGCCATGCTGATGGCAAGGTGCTGAATAGGCAAAAAGGGTAGCAGATGAGCTTGAAGGTAGGTAAATGCCAAGTAATGTGTATAAGAACAGGTAATCCATACCATGCCTACATAGATCTGCCAGTTGAGAGTTAAGCATCAGCTCATGAATATCTGTTAGTGCTGCTTTCAGTTCTCTGAAATCCTCTGCTCCAGGTGCAGTGACAGCCAAAAACACTGGCAGGGATGCCAGGTGTTCTCAGATCTATTGACACCAGGATGGGACAAACAGCTAGATGGTTAAAGGGATGGAGCAGCTGCCTGGTGAGACGGGAGCTGAGAAGGCTGGGACTCTTCAAGTTGAGAGGATAAAGCCAAGGTGGGATATAATCAAGACTTACACAGCTGTGAGGGTAATGATAAACTAAATGCAGTGGTGGGGAGCATGCGCTGGGACTAGTAAGGTGTCAGCTTAAAGCAGGTGAGAGAGGAGTTTCTTCATGTAGCTGAGAGTGAATATCTGGTGTCTGGCCCCAAGGAAGCTGTGGAGGCGGACAGGAGCATGGGTGCAGAAAGGGATTAGACAGCTTCATCTGCAGACGTGAAAGGGAGAGGGGAGGGGATGTATCTCCCTAATGAAACCTTATGGGTGCTCTGGGACTGTCGGAGGATCTGGGTTGCAGGCTAACTCTCTAAAGAGCGTCTGGGATTGCGACTGCTGGGAGCTGTGTTCTGCACTAGATGGGCCATTGATCTGACTTAATGGGTTTCTTCTTGTGCAAAGTGATGATTTCCTTCTTCAAGAGTATTTGTTCTCCACTGGAGTCTCATTTAATGAGGTGATGAAGTAGAGTAACTGCTGAGTATAGGGCCTTTCCTGCGAAGAACTGATGCTTTCTTATTTATAGGCTTCTTAGTCTTGATTGGCACGTTCAATTCTACTGCTCACACTTTAATGTAGGAAGATAGAAAGGAGACAATTATCAGAAAAATGATGTCTCTGTTACTTCCCTCCTACAAAAAAAATTTCCCCTTACTTCTTCCCACTTTATTTCTTGAATCTCACTTTTGTTTCCATTCGTGTCTTCAGGCAGTATGATTGCATCTTATCTGTAAACAACTTTTGAGCTTTCTGAAACAGAGATGATGGCCTAATACAGTTTTATATATAAAATATTTTATTTAGTGCCCTACCCTATAGGTCTGTCATTGAAGTAATATTTATATTTTTAAAAATGTTCTCAAATATGAACTGTGACTTAAGAGTTGTAATATAGGATTCTGGGCTCAAAGCTACTTTTTTTTAGGGTTGGAGTAGGTGGCTAAAATACTGCCTCTGTTTCTGAATTTTCACAGCACATCAGCTTACCTGTTTACTAACATGATTGTATGGAGAGATCAAGTTTATTAAGGCCTTTAGTATGTTTAGGTACAAGATGCCATGATTTTTGAGTATAATACATCATTGCATTCCAAATGGTAAGTACTTGAAATCTGTTTGTCTATGGAGCGTCTGTCTGTCTAAAACCATGGACCTCTTGGATAATTAAATGGCCTCTTAGTCTTTTAAATCTCTTGTTTCAGGAAGTTAAGAAGGATGTAGAGCCCAAGGATGATGCCGTACCAGTCAGGAGGGAGAAATCTGGCAATGTAGCCAGTCTTGTGCAGCGTATGAGCAGCTATGGGCTTCCAGCAGGAGGATTTCAGCCTCATCCCCCGTCCAAAAGCTTCAAGAAGAGTATGTAGTCTTTCCAATTCCTTCAATTGCGTAAGCTGCTGATATGCATTTTTTTTTTTTAATAAACATGAATTATTTAATGTCTGACTTAGTTTTAAGGTTGTACAGAAAAGTAGAGACATAGGAGGAAAAAACTTTGGTTCTAAGCCAAATTCTGCTCCTGGCTGCATGGGCAGAAAGCTTATATGTAGTTCTTAACAGCAGCAATAGGGATGAATTTTCCTGGGAACAGGATTTAGACCCCTTCCAGGTTCCAGAGAGTTGCTTTGTAACTTCACGTGAGCTCTGCTTATATTGTCAGGTACCTGAATAAGAACTGCAAGCCTCTTCATAATAATTAAAAACAATCGTTGTTTTTAATTATTATGGTCATTTCTTCTAAACATAAAAGTTTTACTACAAATTCAGGGCTTTATGACAAGGAAAGACCCTCTCGTTCAGATTCCTCATGGTCAGTGGGCTCACTTCTAGTGTGAATTAAGGTGGAGTTGGTGTTGTCTAAGAAAAAGCAGTGGTTGTGACTGCAGCCCCCAGGATGGTCAGGAGCACAGGCTTTGTGCCTCTGTATGTGTGATTTCTATGTTTTAGTGCCAGTACTTAAATCGAGGTGACTAAAACCTAGAGCAGAAAACTTGGTGTTCCCTGCATCCAGATAATTGACTTGTGATTTGTATTTGGACACCTCAGTCTTACAAGAAACATTGCTCTATATTACTGTCTTCCTCTCCCTTAGGAGGAATTGCAGGCCTTTAGGTTTTAAGCTTGCTTTTTTTTTTGAAAGCGTTCAGAACTTGCTGTTTCTGCTATGTTTATGCTTTTGAGTTTTTGCCTATCTAAGAAGAGCCACTAGTTGTCTTTTAAGGCCCTGAAATGGGACCACCAGGTTTACAAATTTGTTGAAACCTTCTTCTAGGCAACTAAGGTTGTTACCTTCAAAATGACTTTTTAGAGAACCTGATCTGTGTATACATACTGGCAACAGCATATACATGCCTGTTAGATGTTTGCATCAGCAAACTTTTGAAATCTAGTCTCAAAATTAATGCTGTTCCTAGATTAACGCAGCCAGGCTCTGAAGGGGAATCAACATGATCGTTATGGGTCTTTCTAATTCGAAATATTATATGATTCTATGAACATGATCTGATACCAGTTCAGGTGTCGGCTGCTCACTCTGGTCTCCCTAACCCTGGAATGATCCCATATATATATATGGGATCGTGTGTGTGTGTGTGTGTGTATATATATGTGTATATATATACACGTATCCCGTATATAAAAAATATATATATATGTTCAGCATCTCGTCCTTATGCTGGTGGCTGTGTGTCTGTGGTCAGGGTAGTAGGTACAACTTGGTCTCAAACTCTGCAGTGCTCTGGCTAGTCGCATCCTCCTAGAAGAAAATGGTGTACAGGCACCTTCCTTTAAGCATGCAACTATTTACTTGGAGTAACGACAATCTTTGTGTTTCCTTTTTACTTACTGTTCCCTCTTTCCTGGAAGGCTGTTTAAACAGCTCCTGCTGATCCTGTTTGCTTTGTGCCTGGGCAATCGCTCACTCCCTTCAGAAGGTTTCCAGTGCTTAGTCGTTTTTCCCTTTCTGGTTCCTGACCTGGTAGAACGAGGTTTACAATGTTAAAAACAAAGTTAAGTTTCTTCAATAGCAAGTTTCCAAAGTGCAATGAGGTAGGTTGTCTCTGCCTGGGAAGTCCCTGTGGTGTTCTCATGTGCATTTCTTGCTGAATTCAGGTATTTTATATCAGGAGGATAGTAGGCAGCGTTCCTATCAGTTAGATGGCTGCCTTTATTTAGGAAGAGGAAAATACAGAAGATGTGCTAAATTATGGCAACAAAGGGCTAAATTTGGTTTACCCTGTACAAAACAAATAAAACCTGAAGCCAGACAAATTGTTTTGGAAACAGACAGAATTGCCTGGGGGCAGCCAGCCCAGCAGTCCTGCTGCACCACCTGAAACTGAAGTGGTGTTTGCTGAGCGGATTGGTGAGCTTCCAAGGTTCATCTAGGGATTTTTCAGAATTGGAAGGCAATACTTCCTAAACTGGGTATCACTGAAAACAGACCTCAGGTGAGAGAGAGTTCTGGATGTGAAGTGCGTCTGTGGGTTTGTTTTTTTCCCCATTTAGATAGAATTCCAGTATGAAAAGGAATGCTGAGATCAGATTTGTGCCAAATGGCCGTGACTTTTTGATTTGCCTTTTTTCTTTTTTTGGTATCAATTAATCTCATACAAAGGAGAAGCCTTGAAAGCGCTGTAGGGGGTAGTAAAGGCCAGTGAACCGTTCATTGCAATTACTGTTAACCTAACAATCCCTCTGGATTGATGTATGAGTTTCTGCGGAGTTAAAACAAGGGTATATTATGTGGACAATTGCATGTTATTAGAAGTAACCCATAGAGCTTCACATTTTTCGTTTATTTGTTTCCTGCCCCTTTCAAGCTCTTCAGAGCACAGGCAGTACTGGCATGTAGGGAATTCTTGATTTGCTGAACCCTCTTTCAGAAATTTTAGGTGCTGACTGTTACTTGACTGCCAGGTGTGTTTTGTGCAGAGGACGCTGGGTGTGGCAATCTTCGACATGTCTGATGTTGGACTTTTCAGTGCTGCTCTGAGAAGACAAGGATCAGGCCTGGAGGCAGTATCTGTGTTTTGAAATGTTTTTACCCAGCTAATCTTGATTGCTGAAGCTTGAGTATGAAAGGAGTGCAAGGTATAAGTGAGAGTGTGGAAATTATACAGCTCCTACAAGCTTAAGCTTTACCACTTCAAGCTTTTGATTCATATTTTCATTTAAATTGTGGCAGATTGGTTTTGGGCAGGATAGGGAGCGTGTGTGGGTCATAGCTCAGGATGACAATTGCCTTCAAAAGCCTGCTGGCTGCTCTGTTGTGGGAAAGGTCTGAAGGCATTGCCTTTTGTTTGAAAGAGAAAAGCCTAAACTCACCGGGTTCAGACAGCATCACTCCAGGATATGTGCAGAGTAATTGGGCAGTCGTAGGTTCACACTGCTCTGGCTGGAGGGGTTGTTGGAAGCCAATTCAATGCTCTCCCCTCTCAGGGATGCCATTTCATCTTTTTAATGCCTGGAAAGCTTTAATGATAGGTGGCAAACATCTAAAGACTGCACTTCAGTTTAATTTTGCTTTTGTCAGATACTGCGAATTGAAGCTTAGGTTTAATTTCTCAACTCCATACTGAGAAAAAGGGGGGGTTTTTTTTTGCATTTGCAGGTAAAAATGAGTTTGGATTTTGAAATATGAGCCGAGCAAATGTTAACATTACCTCAGACCTGCAGTTAGCAAGGTCTTTATTAGAGAGCAGAAAGTCTATCGGCATTTGAGTGTTGTGCAGGACAAAACATTTTTTTTTCTTTCAGGATTGCTTAAAGACTGGAGGCTTGAACTTGTACGTTTTCTTCCAAGCAGGTGCTAACACTGAACTGGCAGCAGTTGTTCTTGCAGATTTCAGTCAGGAAATAGTTTGAAAGTCATGGTACTGGAGATTTATCTAACTTGCTTGTGTTGATTGTGGGTTTTTTATAGCATGTCTTTAATTGGCAGCATAGTGTGTGTGTTTGTAATCAGCAGTTTGTGAAGCTCGATGATTTTCAAGCTCTAAGATAGTTTGCTAGCCTAAAGTGACACAAACAAACTGGAAAACCAGCAGCAAATGCTATGTAGCTTTTTGCAATGATTTGTGGGTGTTCAGGTCAGCTTTGATCCTCAGGAGCTGCGCGGAGGAAAAACGAGTTTTCCTTTGCAAGTGTGCTTACTTTTGCCATTTCTCTTGAATCAGGGTCCAAGAAGCGGCAGTGCAAAGTGCTCTTCGAATATGTCCCACAGAATGAGGATGAACTGGAACTCAAGCTCGGGGATGTGATCGACATCAATGACGAGGTAAGCTGTTTTACAGAGCTGATCCTCTCTTTATGTGGCCAAAAGTAAATCTGTTTTTTTGTCTTGTTACTTGAATTGCAAGGATGTTGGAAAAATAGCATGGGAAGTGGTGTTTTTGAAGCTGCAGCTAAAGCTGATAGCATAGGAGTTCTTTCTCTCAGGATCTAATCCTAAAGCAATGAATGCTAGATGTTTAGGGGAAGTATTTGATCATTGCATCAATAAATTGTGATCTGTTACATAGATTCCTTTTTCGAAAGACCTTTACAGTTCTTTGGCCCTGACTGTTATCTTTGTTTTTAAGATGCTTCTGGAATACTGTTTAACCGGTTGCCTTTGAGTTGTCATACTCTAACTTGGTTTAGGTGAAAATGTTGTTTGACCTGGTTTTCCAGTTTCATGTTTTTTTTGAAACTCATTGAAGCTTTGAACTAATAGTAACGGTATTCAGCACAGAAGCCTGTACCTATGGTACTCCAACCCACCTGCACAAAAATATGTGGACTTCGATGGCAGTGTCCTTCTGTATTTGAGTGGGGATTTGGAGTGGGTTGGTCTTATCTTTTCCTACCTACATGCTTCCTTGGTATCTGTTCCATTCAGTAGCAACTTGTGTTGTGGTGGGCTTGAATATGTGGGAAGAGTGTTTCTTACAAAAGTGAATTCTGTTGGGGAACCTGCGGAAAAGATCCGAGTGATTGTGGAAGGAATTTTTTTCAGAACTAGGTGGAAAACTTCTGCACAACTTGCTCTGACCTTTACTGTTGCTGTCTCTTCTTACGACCTCCCTGAGAGTCTGAGGAACAAGGTTGAACCTTTCTTTCTAGCCATGTGTCCGGTGGTGCTTTTTAAGTAGCTTTCTGAGATTTTTTTTTTCACATGCATGACTTCTTTTCAAGAGAGTGCTAACTCTCCAGGATCCTGGCAGTTGCCAGGAAGGACTTTTCCATTCTCTTAGTAAGGAAAAAGTTATGCTTTTAGATGCATGTGCACTAATGACTTCTAGAATTCGTTTACTTTGAATAAAAAGGTCAAGTGACTTGTAAAACCTGATCACTAAAATCACAGCTTCATAAATACCATTGTGTGTGGGTGTTTTATATAGGAGTGTTCCTGGATAACTTCACTAATTTATGGATAGTGCCTGTACACAGCAGTCATGACTTTGGTCCATCATAAGCATTTACAAGAGAGAGCGTGCGCAGTGAGCTGTTGCGGAAGCTGTCGTTTTGGGTTGCGTGTGTCAACATCTGGAGTTATTTTGGGAGGTGCATTCAGTGTGATATATCAGAGATGGCCAAGTAGCCAAACAGAAAAAGATCAAAGCATTTCCTCATCTGGTTTCTTAAGGAAACATGGATTTTTTTTTTTTAATTCTTTTTTTTTTTTTTTTTTTTTGTGTCAATCCGCATGCTGCTTCTTTTCTTAATGATTTGGAAATAAATGTTTGTAGTATGCAGCCTTTGCTACTTCTAAAAAAAACTGTTAATCAAATTTTTAGGCAAATGCTACCAGGTAGAAAAATACTGCAGCTAACTACTAGCACAGAGCTTTGGCATGCTGATGGTCTGGAATAGACATGAGAGATGTAGGCTAGATCTGCTTCACAAAACTGTGCTGATGGACCAGAAATGTTGATAGTAGAAAATACCATCTATTAGTTGTGCAACATGCAGGAATAACTTACCTTAGGTAACTGTCTTTGCTACTGTGAGACTGTCCTTGCTTCCATTTATATATAAAAGGTGCTATTTATATATGTGTAGGTAACTCATAACTGTTAGTTCAGTGAAAGATCTTTTCATCACTTTTTTCCATGGGGAAGATCAAGTAAAATCATCTTCACAAGGGGATCAGTTCTACCAGTGACCTGAGAATAATTCAGCATTTAGCCCTTGTGATTGTTTTCATGAATTGAGTAGTTACAGCTGACAGTACTGATCATAAAATCAAAAGCGGAGGCAGATGAGTTCAGAAATTAAATGGCTAATATTGAAGAGAGCAGGCTACAAGGATCAGAAGTAGCTTTTAGGGAAGAAGGCCCTTGTGCTGTGTGCTGGCTGAATCTGCAGGGTTTTTTTGCTTACAGAATGTGGGTTTTTACATGCAAAATACATGCACAAAGTGCAAGTGATAACAGTGTCATTGCGTAAAACTTTTGTTTCTTCTTTTTATCTTCCCCCTGCTCTTGTCAGATGTAGCACTAAATAGCAGATTTATTTTTTGTAGTATTATGTTTGTAGTGTTTGTATACTGTGTTACTAAGCATAATCAAGATCAATATGACTCCGTTAATGGAGTTTTTATTAAAAAAACAGTAATCAGAATGGCAAAACTGCTTGTTTCAGCCTTTTTTTCTGCCTTTTGTTTAGAAGTCTGAGTTTTCATCATCTTATAGATATAAGCTGATGGAATTCCCACTCAAAAGTACTGAGGTGTGTACCGGAGCTGTAACTCCCTCTTGTGGAGATTGTATCATGTAGTAAGATTTTGAAATGGAATGTGAGAGTTGTGAAACTGTCATCTCTGTTGCTAGTGCCCAGAAATGCACAAATACTCTCCATCAAAGTGTGCAGAACTCTTTTTTTACCTGTTTTTTAGTGTCAATTAAAGATGCCTTTTCTGGTAATACTGTTTGTATGTAGTCAGGTTTTTTTAAAGACAATCTGGTGAGTAGGCTGATGGAAGTACATTCAAGAAATTTTTGTTTCGTTCTCGAGTGTCTCTGAACTGGCATCACTTTGCCTCGCAAGTCTGTAAAGTGCTTTGCTGACTTTATTTCTTGGCAGAAGAATAAATGGATGTTTGAGTTGCTTTCTGTATTGTAAGCATTAAAAGTCCCTTTCTCATGGCGCTTGGGTTTCGTATGGGAGAGTCAAGGTATTTGAATTTTAGGTTTTTTGTAACGTATTATATAAAGCATGAAGTGCCAGAACCTGGCCAGCACTTGTGAGTAATTTGTGCTTAAAATTTATTTCAGAGGACCAGACTCTGAACTCGAACCATCCACAGCAAAGCTATATTTGAGCACTAGGGTGTCTTTAAAAATAACAAAGTTGCCTGTCTGTCTCTGTAGCTGCCAGGTTTTGCATACGTTCTGCTTGCCTGGAGATATGCTAGCGTTTAAAAACTGTGCCTGTGTCAGGCGTAGTGACCTACAAAACAAAGCTAAAAAAAGATAATGTAAACAACTGCTGGTGTGAGTTGTTTCCCCCCCCCCC